TAGAATGTAGCAAAAGAGCAAACATAGTAGCTGTTGCTTGTTAGACCAATTATCAGAACAAATAGACACAGGAATTAAATTTCTCAACCTAGCTTCCTTTCAGGAACAGAGATTTACCTTCCTCCTTTCCAGACAAGTGGAATAGGGAAAATTATCCCATCAATAAACACAGGATTAAATGTCACAAAGAACAGTTTTAGAAAAAAGTCAAAGGGTATATAACAATCATGTTTGAATATCAGTCTTTCTAGCTAGCCAAGAAACTTTGCTGAACGTCCCTCCTCTTGGTTTCTTGCCATTAAAAGACCTCTTTCCGGCAGCTCTGCTTCGCTAGTCCATTTAGTCTTCAAAGGGTTGTTTCCTGGCTGGAAGAATCCTCATCAAGAGGCATTTTCCTTCCAACATGAGTAAATAGAGTATTAGTACTATGTATAAAACAGAGTTTAAATGAATTTTAAAATACTCAAATATTTGACTAGTTTAAATAAGAAAACTGAGTACGTTTCTTGCTGTCTGGGTCGGTCCTTCCTCCCTCCCTCCCTCCCTCCCTCCCTCAATTCAGTCTTGGACAAAGGGACCCGATTGGGAAAAGCTGCAGCAGCTTTAGATTAGATTAGATCAGATTCAACTTTATTGTCATTGCCATGGATACAGGCAATGAAATGCAGTTTGCATCCAACCAGAAGTGCAAAACAAAAGTAAAATATAAATATATGTATGCAAATAGGCAAGGCATCTATGAATATGTCACTGGAAAACACAACAAAACGTATGTACACAAGCACACAAGGATAAGTGTGACTGCACATATATGAGCATATACAAGATAGGGAGAGCCGAGCCGGTGGGAGAAGTGCAGCCAGCCAGCAGGTCTCTTGTCTCCTTTTATTGAAGCAAAAGGATTAGCTGGCTCAGGGGTGTCCGAGGTGCTTTGGAGTTCAACACCCAACCCCACCCAACCCCCCAAAACAGCGGGGATTGGAATGGCTGGAGCCTAATGTCCTTTTAAATGAATTCCTTGTTGTGTTATCATGACAAAACCACCCTGGGGTAAATCTGAAAGGCCATTTCAGAGGAGCCTGGCTGTCTTAATATGCACTCACCCTGTTTTGCTGCCTGAGATGGTTCAGTCCTGCTTTGCATACATTTGTTCCAAAGTGCATCCATATGTGCTTCCCTCGCTGCTCTCCCCTCCCCCCCCCCCCCCCCCCCCCCCCCCCCCCCCGGCCCCGAGAGCCGCTGTATTTCATCGGGTGCACTTGACATCCCGGATGGGCACCAGGCCTGGGACTGTAGCAGTGCCCTTTCCCAGGCAGGCATGTACTGCGCACACCCAGTCCCTGGAATGAGCAGCACCACTTGGATGTACAACTACTCTGGTAAAAGAGTGAGGTTTTCTTTCTTTTGATCAGAGAGTCTCCGCGGTCTCCCCGGTCACTCAGAAGGTCGCCTCAGCCAGCCAGGCGGTGCATCTGCTGGTGTGAACTGGAGCCCTTTCGGCCCTGTTCTCGAGGGTAGGGTGGATTTTCTGACAGGTCTGTCGTTGATTCCGAGGTGCCATTCTGGGCCAGTTCAATACTGCGAGCTTCAAGAGGTGAGCAGTGTAGTCAGAGTTGCCTCTGAATGATTTCTAAGACTGCTGAGATGCTTTTTCCAATCTGGGGTTTCAGATATTCTCAGGATTGGCTACCAAAGGATTTGGGGGGAGGGTTAGTAATATGTAATATTGTTCAAAAATTTGAGTTAGCATTTATATCAAAAATTATCCATTAAACCTAAGACTTTAAAATAGGGATTTCTTGTTAGTTAGTATGATGTAAATTGCATGCATGATTATTGCATATCATATAATAAAACAAACATTTTAATCTTTCTGCCCTGATAAATTATGTTGAGGCTCAGTTACATCCACGGTGCAAATAATCTATAGTTATTGTCGAATCTTTTCTACTCATTGATGGGGATTGTGAAATCTCCTTGGATACTGGCGTTGGGTGACTAACTTTTTATTTGAAGCCATTTTAGCAAACACTGAATAGTTCTGGATTGACAAATAATCTGACAGCTCAGACTAAGAAATGCAGGTTGGTGTCAGGACTGGATAGAAATTGCTTGTTCTTTTTAGTGGTTTCTCCAGTGCAAAAGCGAACTCCTGTAGTTGTGATTTGGTTTCCTTCCCTCCTGCTACAATCCTTTGGAAGCTGAGCTGGGTAGTCACGCTTACTTCTCTCAGTCGTAACATAACAGCTTGAGTGAAGTATGGATTTTACTCTTCCTTGAGCCCAGGCCGTTCCCCTTTGTTCTGGGCGGAAGGGAAGGCTTTGCTGTTGTTCAGTATTTCCAGGCATGTGGCGGAGGAGGGAAGTGATCCTAAAGCCTGTCAGGGCTGGAGACTTCAAAGCATCTGCTTGTTGCTTTTCAAGAGTGACTTGTGAACTGGAAGAAAATGGAATGAGAAGTCCCCATTTCATTAAACGCCATGCAAACAGTATTGTACATTTTACTAAAGGGTGCATACTCATAAAACTTCTGTCTTTAAAGTGTATGGCACAATAGGTCAAAAGCCTTGCACTTTTGTGGCATTCAGGTAAACAGACATCCAGTGCATCACTCGGTGCCTCCTTGGGCGATGGTTTCCTTCCTGCCATCCTTTGGACTGATACCAGAGCCCTGCAGCCTGTTCCTGGCTCAGTTCAGGGCAGCTCCCTCACTGAGGTTGGAAGCTTTGGGACCGGCTGCCCAGCTGGGCTGAGCCCAAGACAGCGCAATGGTGCCTTTTAAAAGTGTGGCTCTTGGTAACATGCATTTTGAACTAAGTATGTAACGGCTTTAAGCTCTTCGGCTCAGCATCACCACAGCAGGCCTCTTGGAAAGAAAAAGAACCACGTTTCCTAGGTAGCAGAAATTGCATGGCATCTCAATTAAACCGACCATATGGTGAGCAACTAGATAAAGTCAGAGCTACAACTATAAGAATTCAAGTATTTCTTACCAAGTTTAAACAACACAGAGCAAAAATGGTGTTATTACCGGTTCGGTGACTACGTTTTGCCTCTATTTTCCTGCCTTTTCAACCTCAGCTGTGTCGTGCAAAGCAGCTGAGGTTGAAAAAGCAGGAAATAAAGGACAGGTAAGAGTCCGGTCAGGCGGGTGGGCCAAACAGCAGCAAGCACAGAACCGGTTCGGTGTCTGCTGCTCTTCAGAGCTACCGGTTCTATAGAGCCGAGCAGAACCGGTAGCATCCCACCCCTGGTTAGAAGCCCATTTTCCGGGCGATGGCTCAGTTGCTTGAGGTCCCGCCTTGACTTCATCTTTACCCTCAGTAGCTAAAGGGGACACAGCTCTCTGTGTCTGAGAAGAGCTGGGCCGGGTGGGTGATGTGGAGCCTGGTGGGGTTGGGGAGGCCAGAAAAGGACCCACCCCTGCCCATTCTTCCAGCAGATCTTCACCTCTTCACACCTCTGAATTGTTCCAGGTATGAAAAGAAATATGCATCGGGGTTTTTTTTAAATTGCTGAACGCAGGATACACACACAAATGCATGTAGAAACACATTACATTTACCAAGGGCATGATTTCCCTGGTGTGTTTGCCTGTCTATAATGGTATGGCATCTGGATGCCCAAGGAATTTTCTGCAGGCCTCCTTGAAAGATTCTGGCTAAACCAAGCAGGCAGTTGCATTCCTCGGTGTTTAGTAAGGAGGAGAAGGAAGGTTGCTTTGTACTGGATTTGGGTTTCTGCTCAGCCTGGGTCTGAAATGTGCCGGCAAATATCTCCATGCTGAAAATCCAAAATAATGTCTTGGTCAACTTGTGGCACTAAGCGTAGAACTGGCTGCTTACAGACTGCTTAATCTTACCGTCTCAGTCAGCCTTTTCTTCTTTTACATTTTTGTGTGTAAGAACACAATAGAATAAAACCTGTGATTAACCAGGGCAGGAGGAAAAAATGACAATCGTCTGCAGGTGACTTGAGAGAACTGGTTTTAATTTCTGTGTGGTTCTCACTGTAAGAAATGAAACTTGCTTTTTGTTTTAGAATTGGCAGACTGTTTCCCAACATCTGGACTGAATGAAGTCTGAGACCACATCAGTTGTGTTTTGCTACAAAAATTCTTTGATCAAAATCCAGACTGAAAAAAGTACAGTTTGATATTGCTGCTTGAGGGGGGGGGAGGGTTGGAAACTGCTTAAAAACAAGGCGCAGCTCTCAACTTCTATGTTCCACCGGAGCCTCGTCTGCTGCTCTTTTCTATCTGTAAAAACATGGAGCTGTCAGAATTTTGTTGTGCAGAGTTTTCCCCTCTTCCTTGTTCAAAACATAGCAAAGGAATCTCAGGTTTATTTCTAAGAATAGTGAATCGTCCTCTCTCTTTCTCCCTTCCCCTCCCTCTCCCCATTTCTCCCGCTATGCCGTTCAGTGGCAGGCCATGACTAGAAGGGATGTTTCTTTCAGCTAAAACCTCAAGTGGGATATACTGTGTGTGGGCACAGGCAGCTCTTGACTTAGAACCATTCATTTAGTGACCATTTGAGGATACCACCGCACTGAAAAGAGCGGCTTATGACCCTTGTTCACGTTTACGGCTGTTGCAGCATCCCCATGATGGTGATCAAAATTTGGACCCTGGGCGACTGGCTCGAACTGATGGTCTTGTGATCCCCTTTTGTGGTCTCCTGTCAGACAAAGTCAATGGGGAAGCCAGATTCACTTAATAACCGTGTTACTTATTTAACCCCTGCGGTGAGTCAGTAACTGTGGCCAGAAAGTAAAACTGGGCGAAATTCATTTCAATGTCTTGCTTAACAACAGAAGCTTTGGGCTCAGGTGTGGTTGTAAGCCAACCATCTGTACTAGATGTGAACTCCCCGCAAAGCCCTTAAGGGCCCTTGGAGACCTGAGGCCTCATACTCAGACTGTGCTCTCTGCCTGATTATGACTGGACCTTTTCTGCTGCTGTAGGTTTCTCCTTTTCTCCCTTTCACTTCACGGATTTAGGTCTATGCACCTTCTCCCGATTCAGATGACTTTAATAGAGAATCTCCAAGTTACTCATCTCCTAAACCGCCTAGCAGTATGTTTGCTAGCACTTTCTTGTTACAAGGTAAGAAAGTTTTTGCTGACATTTTCAAAGTAGATACAAGAGAAAAGGAATAAATAGCATTTAGTAACCAAATAAATGAGAGTACAATTTATTATGTTTATGCTGTCTGAAGTCAAGAGAATCATGATATTCATAGGATGTGGATTGGTAATATAGCAGTTTAAGGGCATATCTTAAAGTAGATCTAATTAGCATTTTTTTTCTTATGGTTTGGGCATTTAAAATAGACAGTTGGGCTTTCATTTTATGACATCTCTGTCCCTTATAGAATAACTGCAACAGCATCATTGTTCCCAGGGGCTAAAGGAGGTAATCTTAGCAGTCTTGACTTTTTCTGGATTCTTAGATGTTTAGCCTGCTTCTTAGTCACAAGGTTCCCAAGGAGGCGAGCATAAAATACAGGAGATTGTTAGGTAAAACAAAACTGGCAAGCAACAATTGCATCTGTACCAACGAGGTTTACAGTGGTTCCTTGGTTCTCCTTGATTCAAGTAGACTTCTTGTGCCAGTTGCATATCCTCTAGAAAAAGGATCTAATGGCAGTTGCTTCTTTTACTGCAGTAAAATGGTCACTACTATACACCTTAAAGCAGGGAGGTTATTTAATTATGCAAAATATGTTTGTCAATGCAGACCAAGCTGAAAAGGCCAATCCAAGATTCTGAAAATATGTTTGCCAGGACACATGTCAGTGTCTCTTTTAAGAGACTAGGTTCTCACAGTTAATATGCTGCTGTTCTGCACAGCTTTTGTGCGCTTAGGATTGCGTTGTCCTTGGCTAGTGAATAGGCCATTCGCTGAAAATACTTGTTCTTCTGATTTCTGTTTGACTTTCTCTGGGAAATGCTATTTTGCTGGGCAAGACTCAGAAACCGAGGGAGTAAAGTTATAAAACAAGTCAAACTTCGGATGGTTAGACATCTCTAACTGAGTTGAAAGGACGGGAGGAAAGGCTCGATCCGTGGGGCACCTGCATGCTCGTCCTTTCTGAGCCCCCCCCCCCCCCCCCCCAATTCTCAAGCCTGTGCAGGCCCCGCTCTTCGCCTGTTCCTAAATGCAGGGCTGAGTTTCGGAAGGGTAGAAATTGATAACCGTGCCTGATTTTCATCCAACAATAAAGATGGGACCCGTGCCGCTCCTGAACTTTGGAGCCCCTCCCATGGAGTGAGACAGTCAGGTCATGCTGGAATGCTGGAAAGTCCTTCTCACCTGTCGCCCTCCGGTAGTTACGGCAGCCAACATCCCCACGAGCGCCAGGTAAGAGGGTGCCAAGTGTCCCTGCATAATCAGCTAAAGTAGAGGCCGTGGGAAAATCAGTAAACTCTGGATCTGAGCAAACTCACTCCTGGTCTCCGGAAAGGTTGGGGGTTTTCAGGAAGTCCGTCTTCCAAACCGGAAGAGCCCCTGGGCTTCAGGCATGGCCCAGGTCTCATCCTTGCAGCGGCCTGATCAGGCTGTGCAGCAATTCAGATTTGTAGGGAGAAAATTGTCGTCTCTACACATGGGGCCTCTGGGCACGTCAGTTTAATAACGTATGGACTGGTTAGAATGTATTGTATATATGGTGTTTGATACTATTTATATTTTCCATGCCAGTCAAGCTGACCAACAACAGCAATCATAAGGAGCTTTCTAAAATTGTGAATCAGCAGCAGAAACAATTTTTGCAGAAACACGATAGCCACAAGAATGAAAAAAAATTGTCCTGCAGTTGCACAATTCAAATAGATTTTAAAAAGGAACTCCTTTTTATCACACTGAACAATATTCCATATTATTTACAAGGCAATGCACTGTCGAGGATTGAACATAAAACAGTATATATATATAATCTGCCTCATAATATCTGCAGTATGCTTACATCAAAAAGTGAATAATTGCCACTCTTGTTCCCTCCTTGCCCTGGGATTCCCTTTCTGCTTTTTCCTAGAGTTTTCCTCCTCATTCAGCCTCACCAACAGATGGAAGCCTTCCACCAATGTCCAGCTTCCACCGGGGCAGTAGCAGTAACTCATTGTATGCTGCCGCCGCCTCTCATACTCCACCAGTCAACAGATCAGAGACCAGTCTGCTTGGTAAGATCTCTGGGTCTTAAAATTATCCATAAAAATTATAGCTGATTTAGTTATAAGTTAAGTCCTGATAGTATAATTATCTGCTAAAACTGTAAAAAAGGTTTGTCAGCTGGCAAGACTTACAATGTTGATATTTCCAGGGTTGGAATATATTCACATCTCTCTTCATTTGATCTCCGCTCTGAGAGCACAGCCTAGAAAACATTTTTCATACTTGTGGATCTATTCACCAAGCTGGTGTGATGGATCTTAGATGGCATTGTATGTCAGTCTGGGTATTATTTGTGCACTGCTCCAAAATGTGTGACAGGCAATTGTTTTGAAAGGGTGGTTGGACCAGGAATCATTTATCTTTGATGGTAGTTGAAATATGATTATAACTTCTATTCAGGAAGAACATATATTTACCTAACGAATGAGCTTCAGTTTTCCCCCAAATCCCAGATTTATAGATCTTATTGAGGTGACATTTCAGCTTATTCATACATTTGGTGTGTTTTGTGCACTCTGATTGGTGATTCTAAAGTCCTTTCTGTGATTTCTTATAAAGATATGAATTTAAAAAAGAAGACGAGGATTCAGTCTTAAGCAGTGTGTTTGGGGCTATTTAACTGAAGCGTTCCAAACCACTAAATTATTTATTTGTGCAGATGTGAACCTGAAAAGCTGTATGATGCTTATCCAACATGATGGGACCAATGTAGTAATCCAGGACTAAATAGTTGGTTAGGCAGATGAGTTTTCCTAGCTTGAACAAGACTCCTTGAGGATCAGATCGCCCCAGCAGCTTCATTTTCATTCTGACTGGTGCTGACAGGCTAGCAGGCAGCAAAACTGGGTCCGTAGACAGAGAAGTATAAATTCACGTACACAAGGAAGCATGAAAGTGGTGGCTCACCTTCTCTCAATAAGACATCAGCAATCAAGGTGGAACGAGTCTCTTGTCATTGGATCCCTACGTCCAAGTGGCTGAACGGACAATTTAGAAGACCAAGACGTTTCGCCTGAAGACTTTTGAAAATAGGAACATAGTTGCCTAGCTTAGCATTCTCCTCCCACAGTGGCCATTTGTTAGGAAGGATCCTGAATTTGCCTAAGGGAATCAGCCACCTTCTCTTTCATGAAGATGAAATGCTGCAGCTGGATCTGGCATTCAGACCTAAAGTTACTTCTGTTTTCCATAGATTTGGGGCATGCCACTACCCTTCTTCTAATCTCCCTCACCTGAAGGGTACAACGTTTGAAGGGCCCTCGGCTTCTTTACAGGCAGAACTAAGGTTCACAGAGAAACTGCAAAGTTTGATGTCCTCACCGAGGTCAGAGTTTCTGCTGCTGCCATTGCCAGGGGGCTCAGAGGGAGAAGGCCTCAAGGTCTTACCCCTTCCGGGCCAGGGGTAAGGCCTTCTCTAAAGGATATCCAAGTCCATCCCGCAGAGCATGTAACCGTCTCAGTTACTCTGTCAGGGAAATCCTGCGTTGATTGGGTATTGCAGTCAATGGGCTGGGTAAGGCCTTGGCACATTGACATACATTTTTAAAGCATAATAATGCTACCTTTGAAAAGGTTGCAGGTGAGCACGAGTAAGGCCTATTCTGTACGGACGTGTATTTTAAATGCCAAGTGTGAATATTTTCTTACCTTTGTACCACGGATGGAAAAAAATGCTTGGATTTGCGTTTTAATTCTTGACCATAATAAGACCAGGATAGGGCAGCCCGTTTACCTAGGTCCCTAAAGTGGAGAATGATCCATGGCACAGCTCCAAAGGGAGGCGATTGCCTCTCCTTGCTGCAAGTTCTGGAATTCCAGGGGGTGGGAGAAGCGATTCAGGGGGTGCTTTGGGGCTCTGCGGTTGACTGTAGGTTGGGAAAGTTTGCTTTCCGGCACTCTTGGAAGGAAGCCCCGTCTTTCTCTTAGCTTCTTTGCAAACTCCGCTTGCCTGTAGTTAAGAGGATGTGCTTTCCCCTTGGAGAACAGCAGCTCAGAGGTAATTCCCGGTCTCCCTTCTTGATCTCTCCCTTCCTCTTCCCCCGTTTTGCTCTCTTAAGTCCAGTCCAGGGGTTCTCACCCTCTGCACCACATAAATGTTGTGTTGCCTTTCTCTTTACAGTTGATAGAGGGAATCCTGCTGGAAGTTCACAGACTGGGGATGCCCTTGGAAAAGCTTTGGCCTCTGTAAGTAATTGTATGTGGAGCAATTCCGTGAAGGACCCAAACTCCATATACAAATTCTTGCCCTTCAGATTGCCTCAAGTAGATCTCAGTGAGCAAACACAGGATGCATCTGGAGGTGTCAATGGCCAGGCAATCCCAGGGTGGCTTGGATTTGAGAGTGGCATTCCCATGAATCTGTGATTGGTGTTCTAAAATTCGTTTACACCTAAAGTTCCTTTCGGGCACATATTACCTGCAGGCATGGCAGCAAACTCTAACACACACACACACACACACACACACACACACACACACAAGCGCACACCCAATAGGCAGGCAGAGGGGAGCGTGCAAAACCTAAAGCAGAAGACAAAGTGATTAAAGAATTATGTGCTGTAAAACTGCGTTGCTGAAGGCTTTATATTTCCCAAGACTTTCTGAAGAGCTCTCCTAGACAGAATTGTTTCTTTAATGCCATTTATATTTTAAGCTGTGACCCTTGAAATACTCCTCTACAGATTTACAACAGGGGCGGCTAATAAAATGGAGTAGCATAGCATAGCACACAGGAAAGCTGTTGATAGTCCAGAGGTTAAGAAGTCCATTCATCGTGAGAAGTCCATTCTCCAATTAACGGCATGGCACAGGCAGTGGTTCCGTGTTGCAGCTACCTTGCCTGGAGCAGTTTTGCCCTAGAGTTTCCTCCTGGGGTTGGCTCCCTCCACAGAGGAGGAGTCAGTTCCGTTAGAAATGGGAGGGAGATAGTAATATTGGATGCAGCCACAGTTTATTAAAGGCCTAGTATGAACGGGTTCTGTTGGAGGCAGAAGAGAGGAGTTTAGTGTGTGCAGGGAAACAAGCAGTTTGCATAATTGGAAGGTAAGGAAGCCCTTCGCCTTCTTGGTGCTGCTTGACGTGAGCTAGCAAATCAGTTCACAGATCGGGGCCAATTGTCCGCCTCTCGGCCTGCACAGCAGAGCAGACCTGGGTTTTCCCTCACCCGGAGATGCGTGTTCATTGCCCTCTGCTACTCTTGAGAAAGGAGGTGTGTGGGTGAAGGAACCCCTATACTTTGTCCATCGGCTTTAAACCTGTCCGATGAAGCAATAAATAAACCATCCTGAAATTGTAAAGCTCCTGCCTTTCTCTCCTTTTTAAATGTTGCCATTAATAGTAGAAATAAGATTGCGTCTGATGTGGTGCTTTTTAAAAAAAATAACAGGATGCAACATTATTTGTTTCTAAATCTAAATACCAAATTCCTTTCAAAATACTCCATGGTTAAAAAAGAAAGGTTAGTTAATACATTTGCAAAGGTCCTTTTATTTTAGATTTAAGCCTGGATAATTGCAGTCTTAGTCTTAAAGCTGGAAAGAAAGAGAATTGTACATGAAAGTATTTACCCAAAGCTCTGAAAGCCCAATGGATTACACTTGGGCTTGGATAACGAACGTGTGGATAGAAAGCAAAGAAAAACTGGGCATGTCTACCATATCTAATGTGCCTCCCTGAATATTTGCCAAACAATAATTCCACAGATAGTGCCCATAGGGAGTTACATGGCGAGAGAAGCATCTGGCTTATGTCAATGTTTAATGGAAAAGTAAAACACTTGGTTTTTCATTTAAAGAAGATCAAATCAGAGGTTCTTCTTTAATGTTGTTGGTTATATCAAACCCCTTTGTCCAAATCTACATTTTGCTTCCTACGTCCAGTTCAGAGAGAGCAGCCTTTGTGCAGCTTGGGTAGCCCAGGGCTTCACAGTCCCTGAACAAGGAGAGGGAAACATTGGGACGTTGATTTTTCCAAGCGATCCTTGAATGGCTTGTATTGCTTGAGGCCCAGCAGGATGAGGACACGGGCATTTCAAGTCCCTCTGTTAACCACTCAGAGCCTGCAGCTGCAGCCTTGGTGACTTGGCCTTTGGCAATCCTGATGGAGTTTAAATTCCTCGTATTTTGTTCCTAGTCAGATGTGCCTTTAAGGTAAACAGTAGCATTGGGACCTATTATATAAGAACTATAGGAACTGCATTGGGGAGAGAATTGCAAGGAATTACAGTTATTGATGGAAGGGAATATTTGTCCCTGGGGTCCTTGGTGCTCTCTGACCCTGGCTGTTTTCTTGCAGGCATTTAAATACCAAACTAGCTAATATCATCAGTCCTAAGTGTGGTTTGCTCTCAGTTACCAGGTTGAACATTTCTAGACATTTCATTTTCTTCAATTGTTGTTCAGCTGAATTTTTTAATGTGTAGGTTCTAGTATATCAAATAGTTCAAATGGTTGTGATATTTCTTTTTTCCCTAGATTTATTCTCCTGACCAGACTAGTAGTAGCTTCCCTTCAAATCCTTCAACACCTGTTGGATCACCATCCTCTCTCACAGGTAGTACCCATCTCCTCCTCCTCCTCTTTTGAAATCTTGTAAGACCTGGTTTTCTATCATAGAGATGCACTCTGACAATTGTGCTGCTGTTTTGTTGGCTCTCTGCTCTCCAGTAAACATCAAAGAGCTCCTGAACATGTGCAGGCAGCCTGTGAATGCCCCTTTGGCCAAAATGTGTTATGTAAGGTGCTCCCATTCAGGAGTTTGGGAATCAGTCACTACTTTCCTGGGATGGTGATCTCCACCCCCAGCTTTCAGTCAGCATACTGTGCTTCGTCCTTGCTGGGCTCCACAGAGAAAACCATTCCAAATTGCGTATAAAAATAATAGAAAGCTCTTTATAAATCAGAAGATGTTGGCAGCAGCAGGATATGTTTCTCCTGCACGTGCCACGCTTCAGTGTTGATTTTGACAGGTGCTGGTCAATGGTCAAGAACTGGAGGACAAGCCCCTTCGTCTCCAAGCTATGAAAACTCTTTACATTCATTGGTAAGAATTGCTGGGTGACGGGTCGAGAAATGGCTTTCTGTTTTTATTGATACAAATCTTACTTATATGTTTATTTCCTCTTAACAGAACCAAGATACTTATTTTATTGTAGGTTGCCTTTCAAAATCATTTTCTTGGGGAAATGTACAGTGCATTAAAATCATGTTTCCTTTTTTTAGAGCAAATTCAGCAATAATTAAAACTAACATCAAAATAAGTTTTATCTTTGGGAGATTCTTACATTGAGTTGAAAATAGTGTAATTCTGCTTGCCACTTACATTATTACATCAGCATCACTCTTGTTCATGGACCATTGGTCTCAAAGGATATTGCAGAATTTGAAAATATGCCAAAAGGCAATTGGTATAACGAGAAAGGGGGTATATTGCATTGGGCTCTTCGGCACAGAAAAATTAAGGATAAAAACCCTCAGTGTGTGTGGAGTGAAATGAGATCCAGACGTGGGACCATCGGCCTTGGAAGGCGTTTTGGGGTATGAATCCAGAGCGGTGGCTCCTGGCCGCTGCCTCTGGGTTCTGCGGAAGAGGCAGGAGCCCCCCACTAAATCCCTTGGGGGCCTCTGTGGAGGGGAGGCGGTGATAGGAATTAGTGCAAAAACTCTCAGTCCTGCCTCAGAAGCAGAAGAGAAAAACGTGTACAATATTGAGGAAGCATTTTAAGATCTCTCAAGGTAATACAAATACAGTAATTTGCCCGTTGCCTTCCATTGCGAATGTACATAAGCAGTCTTTTTTTAATCCCCTTAGTTTCCATTTTCATTCAATCTTTGTGGAATTAACTTAACGAACCACTGAGGCTGACCTGCACACCAGCTATTTACCTCAGCTCTTTATCCTTACTTAACTTGTGCTTTGTTTCTTGTTCTGTCTTGACTTTGCCAGAAAAATCGAGTGGAGCAACAACTTCACGAGCATTTGCAAGATGCTATGTCCTTCTTAAAAGATGTCTGTGAGGTACTGTTTCTCTTCAGAGGGTACCTTTTGGGGGTTTTTAGGGTGGTGGTGGTTAATTTTACTTACAGATTTTTAAAAGTAACAGCCCGCCCTATTTACTGTGGCCCAGCTGATGCATCTCTTCCTTCCATCAGTCTTCAACTTTAAACTGCAAACAGGCTTTTTATGTTTGAATGCTCTTTTGCATACTTTATTTGAACAATCAGTGAATATATGACAAGACAAATGCTGGCCATGAAACCAGGAAAATCTGATTTGAGAGTTCAAACCTGAAAGCAAACTACTCTCTCTCAACCCCCCCCCCCCCTTTCCTGCCTTTTGCCATCCTGGCAATAATGGTCAAATTGAAGCTCTTTGGGAAGAGAAGGACCGGATCCGGCTGCTCGTTCACAGCCACCGTGTCTTTCAGCTGGGAGCAGATCAGGGCCGCAGAGGCTCTGCCCGACTCCTGGGACTGGACAAGGGAAAAAGGAAGAGTTTGCAGGGTGTGAGGATGGAACTTGGAACCTGATTTTAGTACTAATCTCCACTGGCTATTTCTGCTTGTGTCATTTGTTGCCTGGAAAACAGTCACCTTGTCAAAGTCAAATGACAATATCATTTTTCCTTTTTAATCCCCATTTAGAGTTTTGCTTCTTTCTTTTAAGCTTTATTCCAGAACACCAAACAAGATTCGTTTTGTAGTTCACCTCTCACCTTTTGTTTTGGAGCCAGAAGTGTTGTTACCCTCTCACACAGTTGCTGGTTGCATTCTGGCTGTTTTTGAAGTCCTTTTGATACCACCGCGTTCCCTGGCTGCCTTTCCCGTTTCCCATTGTAGAACGCCTGGGACTTGAATGGAATAAACCGCTGTGTGCCATAAATGACCTTCCTGCCCCTCTCCATCCCAACAGCAGTCCCGGATGGAAGATCGCCTGGACAGACTTGATGACGCCATCAATGTGCTGAGAAGCCACGCCGTGGGGCCTTCGACGAGCCTGGCCGGGGCCCACGGAGAGATGGAGGGCTTGTTGCGGCCATCCCACAGTGGGCCGGTTAGCACTTTGAATGCCACTTGTGGCACGCCTGGCCTGGTCATAACCAGTAGACAAGCCTGGATGGTGAGCTTCTGATCTTTCTTGATTAGGCAGAGCCTTGTGACTGAACACCCTACCTCTCTTCCCGGGTTTTGGTCCAGATGGCCCTCTGGGCCCCATGAGACGCCTGGAAGAGGACTGGTCCCTCTACTTGGTTATCTCTGGAGATTCTTGGTCGTCCAGATCATGGTTGTCCCATGGTTGTGCCTTCTTCAAGAGGGAGCTGGACTGTTTTTTGGAAGATGTTTCACTTCTCATCCAAGAAGAAGAAGCTTCTTGGATGAGAAGCAAAACGTCTTCAAAGAAAAACAAGAAAGTCCTCTTGAAAAAGCACTGTTAGGACCTCCGCTTGGTTCTTACATCTTCTCATGCCCTGCTCCGTTCTTCATACTGTCATCTCTCTCTCTCTCTCTCTCTCACACACACACACACACACACACACACACTCACATCCTTAACCGCAGAACCTCTGCAGCTCTTAGATAGCACATAGGACCATCCTTAAAGAATGCACACAAGGCAGGAAACAAAGTGGAGGCTTATCAGTCAAAGACACACGAATGGATTCAGAGGGCTAAAATGGAAGAGCTTGCCTTCTACAACCACTGAAGTATAAATGTTGTGAGATTGGTATCCTAGTCCACAGAACATCCCATGCCGAGCGTCCAGGAAGGGCACTCCAGCTCATTCCAGGTGCAGCCTGTGATTCCACTGCCTGACAAGCTGCTGCCACCAGCCTTGTCTTCTCTTCCTTCCCAAAAGTCAGCCACAGGGCCTTCCTTCTGCTGGGAGGGACGCTTCTGCAGAAAGTGTGATGGCGTAGAGACCCTCAGAAGACCCCTCGGCTGGCCCACCGAGTTCCCACAACTTTCTCGGCTGGCATACCCTTGCTATTTCTGCTGTAGGGCTGCAGTCAGAACAATTGCAAAAAGAGTCAGGATGATTGGATGTTGCTGACCTCACGCCAAGCTGAATGGTGATCTGTGTCTGTGCTGCCTTTGTCCTAGGTCAACACGCATCGGGAAGATGGCGTCGGCCTCCATAGCAATCATTCAGAGCTGTGCAACGCTGGTACTGCTCAGAATACAGAACTAAGCCATAAAACCCAAGAAAACTATAGAGGTGAGTCACATTTCAATTTCTTCAGTCAGGAAACTAAATGGGAATCCTTGTGAAATGAGTAACGAACGTGAGCCCTTTTCATGGATCGGCAGGATTCCTCCCCTTGACCGCAAAGATGGATTTTGCTTGCTTATGAGTTAAGAACTTACCATGCATTACTTCAGATTCCTCGGCTACATGCCTCCCCAACACACGCATGTGCACGCACGCACACCATCTGGTCTTCTAATCTATCTTCCTCGTGGAAGAGGTCTTGTAGCCAGCAGCTGTTTGGGTTGCTGTTTGTGCCACCGTGACGTTCTTTTTCTGTGGTGTTTAGACCAGAGCGGTGCAAAGAAGCGCAAGAGAGGGCAGGATGCTGCCGCACGGGCATCTCTATCTCCAGCCCCTTCCCGACTTAGTCCTAGCACGGAGTGTGCCTAGAGAACCCTCGGGGGCTTTCCAGAAGTTTCTCATCAAATCACACCCATCTGGACGCTCCACAGAAAGCGTGCACCCACCTCTAATAATCTGCTTTTTTCTTCAACGAGTTTCAAATTGTAACTCTCCAAACTCGTCCTAGCACTATCATAGGAACGATCAATTCCTATTTCATAGGAATTGCTCTAGATTTTGCCTGCCACCCATTAAGAGGATTGGTCACAGCTTCTCTTTCCTCAAGGGGGCCTGGGGGTTACTGTTCTTTATTCTTCGATGTTGGTATTTTTATTGTTCGTAAGCGGCCCAGAGTCACTGAGAGTGACTGGGCAGCCATATAAACCTTACAAGCCAACACATAAAATAGGCCACGTTGCACTTTATTGGCTTTCCTTGCAGTGCTGCCCACTGGGCTACCCACCTCCTCTGGGCCCGCTCTGGGCCCGCTAGAAATCAAATCGGAGCACAAGGAGAAAGATGAGAACACACAGGAACCTGCGTCCTCCGATGACATGAAATCTGATGACGAGTCCTCCCAGAAAGATATCAAAATCTCCTCTGGAGGCAGGACGAGGTATGTTGGCTTCTTCCCTGCTATCCCAGAAATCAAGTGGATCCCTCCAGGGTAATAAAACTAGTTTCTCGGTAGGTGCCAATTGCAAGGACCCGTTGAATTCCCAGAACATGCAATAGGAAAGAATCTGGTAAGGAATCCTCTCCGTTTCCAGGTGTGGAGGGCTGGCCATGGCCTCCTGTGAACAGAAGAGGCAGGTGCTCAGTCATCCAGGTCAGGCTTTGCCCCCAAGGTGCTTTTTCAGGAGGCAACTGGACTTGTTTTTTCTTTTGAAGACATTTCACTTCTCATCCAGTAAGCTTCTTCGGCTTCCCCATTATCCTGTCAGAGCTGAAGAAGCTTCTTGGATGAGAAGCAAAGCACCTTCAAAAGAAAAGCTGCCTCCTGAAAAAAGCACCTTTGGGACAAGAGACAGCCGGGGTTCCCTTGGCCTGGGCCTCAGGCTGGGGTGGGGATGTCTTGGACAGCCAGGTTTCCTTCTTAATCTTATGTGACCGCATCACTGTTGTAACCCCAAGTTGTGTCCGTTGTTAAAAGCGCAAAGGCAGGAGTCTCCAGTAGCGAGCAAGGCGGGGGGTGGGGAAGCAGGAGAGATTCACAGAGCTACTTGCCACTTTCCCTGCCTTGCTTGCAGAAAATGGGCAGGGAAGCTGGTAATAGGTGATCCGCTCCCTTCAGCATTGCAAACGGAGGGCCCAGGTCACAGTCACGTCTGTGATGGCCAGAACTTCCAAGGGCTGCTTGCACATCCATTGTCTTAGTGCCACTGTAACTTGGAACCATGACTGATTGAGTCGATGGAAGCTGAGGCCTGCCCGGTCTGTTGTCACTTCTGAACGCTCCTGGTCCGCCTGACCCAAGTCACAAGGGCTTCCGGCTGCACTTGCTGTTCGAACAAAGCAGCATATGGCTAAATCTTAAAAGGTTGCCTGCCACGGTGGACAAGTAGCAAGGGGAAAGAGGAAGGGTCCTCTTGGCAGTGAACTCGCCCCTCTGTCTGCCCCTTATAACCACACAGGCCGCGGCTTTGTGCCCACTCTTCCCTGGGAGTGTTTGTGACAGAAAATGTACCCCCCCCCCCCCCCCCCCCCCCCCCCCCCCCCCCCCCCCCGGGGGTCTCCCCCCCCCCCTCCCCGGGGGGTTTTTGGAACAAAAAACGCCCCCCCCCCCCCCCCCCAGTGGCTTTTCCGCAGACCGAAGCATGGAATTCCTGCTGTCGGCATTGCTTTAAGATCTCTGGCTGATTATAGGCAAGGCAATGCTCAGTACAAGTGCGGAAGAATAAAAGTCTCTCCACACCTTTCCTGTTTTTGTTCCAAAAGTAGCACAAACGAAGATGAGGAGCTGAACCCGGAGCAGAAGCTGGAGCGGGAGCGGGAGCGGCGGATGGCCAACAATGCCCGGGAGCGCTTGCGTGTCCGGGACATCAACGAAGCCTTCAAGGAACTGGGCCGGATGTGCCAGCTGCACCTGAAGACCGAAAAGCCCCAGACCAAGCTGCTGATCCTTCACCAGGCTGTGGCGGTCATCCTCAGTCTGGAGCAGCAGGTCCGAGGTAAGCTGGGGCAGGGAGCACGGGGTGGGGGGTGTGTGTGGAGGCTTCCTTTGCCCCGGGAGGCAAGCACGGCCTGCTCTCCCTTGCAGGCTGAAGGGGGGGGGGGAGGAGGAGGCAGGCTGGGAGTAATGCCTGTGGTCAGGAAAAGAGGACTTTGCTCAACCAGAGCCATCTTCCTCTAGCAATAGCACTTATACGCTGCTTCACAGCCCCCTCCAAGCAGTTTGCAGAGTCAGCCTCTGAGTATGGCTGACAGCTCATGAAAACCCCAAATCCACAATCTCAGAAAAATAGAATATTGGGAAAAGGTTCAATATTCTAGGCTCAAAGTGTCCCACTCCAATCAGCTAATGAAGCCATAACACCTACAAAGGGTTCCTGAGCCTTTAAATGGTCTCTCAGTCTGGTTCAGTAGGAATCACAATCAGGGGAAAGACCGCTGACCTGACAGTTGTGCAGAAAACCATCACTGACGCCCTCCATAAGGAGGGAAAGCCTCAAAAGGTAATTACAAACGAAGTTGGATGTTCCCAAAGTGCTGTATCAAAGCACATTAATAGAAAGTTATGTGGAAGGGAAAAGTGTGGAAGAAGAAGGTGCACAAGCAGCAGGGATGACCGCAGCCGGGAGAGGATTGTCAGGAAAAGGCCATTCAAAAGTGTTGGGGACTTTCACAAGGAGTGGACTGAGGCTGGAGTCAGTGCATCAAGAGCCACCACACACAGACGGATCCTGGACATGGGCTTCAAATGTCATATTCCTCTTGTCAAGCCGCTCCTGAACAACAAACAACGTCAGAAGCGTCTTACCTGAGCTAAAGAAAAACAGAACTGGTCTGTTGCTCAGTGGTCCAAAGTCCTCTTTTCTGATGAGAGCAACTTTTGCATCTCATTTGGAAACCAAGGACCCAGAGTCTGGAGGAAGAATGGAGAGGCCCACACTGCAAGATGCTTGACGTCCAGTGTGAAGTTTCCACAGTCTGTGTTGATTTGGGGAGCCATGTCGTCTGCTGGTGTTGGTCCACTGTGCTTCACCACAACCGTCTACCGGGAGATTTTGGAGCACTTCATGCTTCCTTCCGCAGAGGAGCTTTATGGGGATGCTGACTTCATTTTCCAGCAGGACTTGGCACCTGCCCACACTGCCAAAAGCACCAAAACCTGGTTCAATGACCATGGGATTACTGTGCTTGATTGGCCAGAAAACTCACCTGACCTGAACCCCATAGAGAATCTATGGGGCATTGCCAGGAGAAAGATGAGAGACATGAGACCGAACAATGCAGAAGAGCTGAAGGCCGCTATTGAAGCATCCTGGTCTTCCATAACACCTCAGCAGCACCACAGGCTGATAGCTTCCATGCCACGCCGCATTGAGGCAGTAATGGCTGCAAAAGGGGCCCAAACCAAGTACTGAGCACATATGCATGCTTATATTTTTCAGAGGTCGGATATTGTTCTATGTACAATCCTTGTTTTATTGATTGCATGTAATATTCTAATCTTCTGAGATTGTGGTTTTGGGGTTTTCATGAGCTGTAAGCCATAATCATCACAATTATGACAAATCACGGCTTGAACTATCTTGCTTTGCGTGTAATGAGCTTATTTCATATATTAGTTTCACCTTTTAAGTTGCATTACTGAAATAAATGAACTTTTGCACAATATTCTAATTTTTTGAGTTTCACCTGTAGTCAAGGGTCTGAGGCACTGACGCTCCGTCCTTCCTGCTAGCAGCATGGACCTATTTTTTTTCCCCTCTTTGCATGCCTCAGGTTTTGTAAAGACGTAAGAATTGGGAATTGTCCCTGTTTTTCAGATCCTTTCTCTTGGCAGATTGGGTGTGATGGCTTCTGTCTGAACCCTCAAATCCTTGCTTAGTCTGAGGCTGTCTGGGTGACTTTGCACCCATCACCTTCCCTGGCTTGACTCCCTCACGGGACTGTTAAGGAGCATTTAAGCCAGCCTGGAGGCTCCTTGTTTTTTACTACCAGAGTCGGTTGGACCTCACTAGAGACTCCAAGGAGCGGAAGCCAGGAGCTCCACAGAGCTCTGCGTGGGGGAGCAGTCGGGAAGAGCGCCGGCAGGGAGGCATAACATGCCAGGGCTTTCCTGCCCATCCTGCTCCCAGGCGGAGGCTGGGCGTCAGTCGGGCCTCAGTGCTTGCAGCTTAAAGAGATGTTTCCTGTTTCTTTCTGTCATTGCTTCTAGAGAGGAACCTGAACCCCAAAGCAGCTTGTCTTAAGCAGAGGGAAGAGGGAAAGGGGTCTGTTGTGTCAGCAGAGCCCCCAGCCCCCCATCCAGGAAGCCATCCAGCACTTAGTGAAACGGCCAATCCAATGGGACACATGTGAACGTCAACGAGGTGACCTGTTTTATGTCTGCTGCGATTGGGTGGTGGTGGTGGGGAATGACACAGGGGTTGGTGGGGTATGACAAGACCCAAAAACTTGTCAGTTAAACTTTGTTAAGTTGAACTGCGGCATAGCAGAGCCCAGGCTGTGTGTTGGAATCCTTTGCAAGATCACCAGCGTGATGGATGAAAAGCAACAGTCGCGCTCAACAAAGTGTGTGGCTTTTGTTGGGGGTGGGTGAGGCTGCGCAGCTCTGGTGCCCCCGCCTAAGAACTGGCTCCACCGGAAGCAGGCCAGAGGCCAGGCCGCTTGGCCTTTCCCAACCCTAACCCTAACCCTTTCCCACGGTGCTCTGCAACTGTTGGCGCTTCAACAATGGCCTTTCAGTGTCCAGATCGGAATCCGGACCCCCATGTGGAAGAGACCAAGAAGGGGAATCGTTTCTTCACACGGACCCTCAACATAGCATTAAGCAGGACCATCTCACCAGAGAAACAACCCACCCAGAAGTGGCCCTGTGAGAACCCCCGACCCCTGCGAGAGCGAGAGAGCAGCAGGCTCTTCTTCCAGCAGGACTTCTGCCCCAGAGATGGTGGCGCCTCTCCTCTCCACTCGATGGGGAAACTGCCTTGTGCCTAAACCGAATTGGCAGATGCATTGTAACTAGAACACATTATTTATTTGTAATGGAACTGCCCAGGTCCACCGTATGAAGGGAAACATTGATCCGCTTAGAGCTTGGTTGAGATACTGGTTTTGAGAAGTGCATTCCGGGAAGGAAGCTACAAGGCCACCATGGGGCCTCACATTCCCACCCTGCGTGTGCCCCAACTCCCCTTCCTCTGGCCATCGGACATGTATTTCCTGGGTAGGTACCTTCACCTTGAGAAGCAGCGGCCTGCGGGCAGCCCTCTGACTCCCAGCCCTCGGCCTCTTGCATCACAGGCACAAGCCACGTAGAGCCATCGCATTCCTTGAGCTGAGCCGCCCTCTGCCTTTTTTGCCTTCTCAAGCGGCTGCCTCCCTTCGGAGCCTTGTAATGGGACTGAGAGGAGGAAGCCCGGCCACAATTGCCCTGGAGCCGTAAGAACAAGCCCGGCACAGCCTGGGGTGGGAGCAGTGCAGGGGGACGACCTGGGGTGCCCTGGTGCCTGGCTGCCCCCCCTTCCTGGTCAGTAGCCTTTGCTGAGGGCCTCCGCAACCTGGGCAGTTGCTCCCCCTCTGAGCTTCCACTGTGAATGCTGTCTTCCATTGTAGCGGCCCAGAGAAAGGCCCGCCATGGCCCGGCCCTCCCACCCTGGGCAAACCCCTGTCTCGCACAAGACTTGAATTGCTCCTCCAGCTTTGAGTGTTGTGGCTCTAAGTGGCTTCCTTTTTCTGCAAAAGGGGACGTGCCTTTCTGAGGGTCCTTGGCACATGCTGGTTTGTTAAGTGGCTGTCCTAAAGTGACCCTGAGCAAGCCCCTGTGGATTTTTTTTGCCCCATTCTTGGGATTCCCAGCCAGTGGACTTTGGCTCCTGGCTCCGTTGGGCTGTGCAGGGTGTGTGCTGTGTGCCCCAGTTTCCCTTTGGGAAACCAAGAGAGAAAACACTTGGCTTATTTTTCACTATAGCTAGACTTTTATACAATTATCTTGTAAGAAGTTTCTTGAATTCTAAATATTACTCTTTCTAGATTTTTGAAATCAAAAGTTTTCAGTAAAAATTTCTTACTTTATTTTACTATATTAGGTAGAAAGAAATGTAGGGTTGTTTATCATAACCTGTTCATTAATATCAGAAATTGACAATAACATTGTAAGAGTAGGGTTCTAGCATCCTGTGTAGTACCTTATGGAGTATTGTAAGAGCTATTTGTCCAAGATGAATTGCTTCTCATCTTATTACTCAATTCCCAGATGTTGGTTTATTGCAAATTTGTACCTTGTGTCAAATTTCAAGATATTACAGATGCATCTTTTTGACCAGCAACAAATTCAACACCTTTTCTGTTTTGTCAGAAAACACTATGTATATAACATTTATGTAGCAATAAATGTGCCATCCTTTTGTAATTATTGTTTCAGGCAATCTTTAACCGTTTTTATGCTCTTGTCTATTTTGGCCCAATCCTTATCTGCACATGAATAGAAAGGATGAAGTTTAAATGGACATGCTAAGTAATTTAAAGCCATATTGATTTTAGTCTTTAAAAAGTGAAGCAAAGCTATTCCCCATTTAAATTAAGATTAACAAGGAGGCTGAATTTGTTTCTCTAGACTTACACTGTTCCTCTGTGTGCTGATTTAAACCATCTGGAACATGCCCAGGGCACCGGCCCGGTTCAGACAAATACACAGGCCGAGACCAGAGGAAACGTTCGCAAAGGGACTCGAAGGGCCAGGAATGGGAAGGACCAGGGAGGTTGGCCACAAGGGCATCACACCCAACTCAATGTATATGGCCACTCATATCAGGCAGGTGTTTCTAGGTGCAAACAATCATAAAACATAATATAAAAAAATAAGTGTATATAGCAGCCAAAAAACTCCATATATTCAATATCCATATAAGATACAAATTCTTCAAAAATAAGATTACAAAAATAACGGAAAGAACTTACAGGAGGAGGCAGAAGACATTTGCAAAGGAGGCGAGCCACAATGGCTGTGGGATCCAGCCTGCCTCTCCGGAAGTGGGACTTGCCCTCAAGGGCTTCCTAGGGGCACCACCCACTAATTATTACTAGCAGGGGTATATTTACGTAGCACCAACGCCACACAGACTCCTTGTGGCAGAAAGCTCAAAGTTCTGGAAGCAACTCTTGGACATCTTTGCAGGTGCATCCCAACCCTTGGCTGACCTGGAAGAGATGAAGGCAGATCCACCCCTGCGCATTACAGAGGTTGGAGATATTACAAACTAAGGATGCTTGAGATTTGCAGTAGGCGGACCACTACCCAGGGCCCTTAGGCTGCCGCATGGAATCTCCCCGAGTTGCAGGGAGCCCCATTCAGAACGACCCCGCCCTTCATGCCCTGCTTGTGATGGATCACCCAGGGGGGCGGGGGTGGGGGGTGGGCTTATGGTTACTCCCACAGAAGGTAAAATTGGCTGTCATCTTGGTTTGTTGATCACATAAGCAAATTGCTGAGAATCCCGATCGAGTCACAACTGAAAAAGCTAGCTTGAAATAGAATTGTAGAGCTCTTCCTAGCAACATCGGAATCCAAACGATGGCTTAGAAGCTGCCGTGATGTCTGTCTTTGCTGTCAGTCAGTGAGCAAGGACCACAGGAGGTTGTCCCTGAGCCAAATTGTGTGAAGGATGCCATTTGGTGAAACTGAGCACCCTTTTCTGTCTTACTATGGGGCCTTCATTACGCTGTCCAGCCCTTAACACCATAGGGGCCACGCAACTAAAGCTTCGGCAATCCTTATGCTCCAGCTAGGTGAGTTTTAAAAAGACAAAAGTAGTTTTGCGATGTTGAGATAATCCAGACCTTGCTTGGCACCATTCTGCCTCCTGCTTCCGTTCCTCCCCAAGAGCTGCCCCCCCCCATCAAATTAGGTTGGGAAGGGCTGCTTTGAAGACTGCAAAGCGGTGGACGGGTCTGTTTCATCATTTGCCGCAGTGAATGGGGGTCCCTGAGCGGTTAAATTGGTGGAATAAATAGAGCCTCGCCTAGGGTGGCGCATGCCAGCCAGCAACGACCCAAGGTTGCCCTGAAAGACCCAGGTCTCCTGTCATCCCAGGAGGAGGGTCCCAGTAGGGCCTCTCCTAGGGAAGCAGCCCCAGGGGTGTGTCAGGAGCCTTCAGTTCGCTTCTCCCCTGGAGCAGGTGGATTCCAGAGTCCAGCCCAGAGCTCCCCTCTTGGGCTCAGGTTTTCTGTTTTGAATATTTCAAACTGAGGCAGATGCCTGGAAGCTAAAGCTGTGGGGCCCCGGTAGATTAAATGGAGAAGTGGCCCCTTGAGTGAGTGGTTAAGGCAGCAGGCTAGAGAGGACCCCCCCTCCCTTAGGCACAATGCCTGGGGGGGGTCCCTGGAAGGAGGCGGCGGCGGCAGGGGCCGCCCACTTCTGAAGCCTTGCCAAGAAAAGGGAGCCCCCCCCCCCTCCTCCTCGTTCAAGAGACGCCCTGGGTTCCTCCAGCAGGTGGCGCTCTTGGCTAAGCTCCAGAGCTCCGTGGGGCCCAAGGGAGGCCGAGCGGGAGGAGCCCCTGGATTTGCGGGGGGGGGGGGAGGCTTCCTTCCCGGGGACACGAATGGGCGGGAGGGGCCCTTGGAAGCAGGCGCTGCAATCCGGCCTTGGACAGAGGAAGACGGGGCGGGGGGGCAGAGCCTTCGGGCCACGGTTCCCAACAACGGGGCAAACCCAGGGAGAGGAATCGCTGCTCCCACAAGACGCCTCTCGGGGCCGCCCCGTTGCGGCGGCGGGGGAGCCGGGCGAGGCGGGCCGGTCCCGATTCCCGGCTGTGCGGGCTCCTCGTCAGGCAGAAGCCGGCGGCTCCTGAGCGCGTGCAGAGGGCGGGCGTGTTCGCCCCGCCCGTCGGGCTGCCCGCCGCAGGTCCCTCCCTCGGCGGCCTGGAAGAGGCGGGCGGTCCGGGCGGCGGGCAGAGGCGCTCGCTCGGCGGGGCGGAGGACGCGGCGCGGGCCGGACGGAGGTGCGCGGGGACAGGGACGCGCTGGGCGAGGGGCGGAAAGGGCGGGCGGCCGGGCGGGCGCTATCGCTGCCTCGGCCGGCCTCTCGCGGTGGCCCCTTCGGGCTCGGGCTGGAGGGACTCGGAAAGCCAAGCTCGGATCGGGCCGGCTCTCGCCCCGCTGCCCCGGCTCTGCCCAGCCCACCCGGCTCCGCGGGCGCGGCCCTGGCGAGGGGAGGGGAGGGCCCGGCGGGGAGGCGCCCGCTGCCTTGGCCGGAGCTCCGCCGCCGGGCAGGAGGGCTCGTCCGTCAGCGGCTGGGCGCTTCTCCCGGGGTGGGCCGGTCCTGCGCTGCGGCCCCGGGAGATTCGCCTCCCCACGTGGGGCTGGGCAGCCCTCTCGGGCGGGGGAGGCTTGGCCGGAGTAGGGCGTCGTTTGGACGAGAATCGGCTTTACCTTCCAACGATGGCCGGGAAGCCGAGTGTCTCTGGCGGGGCCCGGTTGCAGGGAAGAGCCCTGGCCGGCCCTGCGTGGCTGCGGCCTTTCCTCCCTCTGCCCTTGGAAGGGAAAGGCCGTCCAGGCTGTAATGGACCGGAGAAGCCTTGGGCACCTTTTGGGGCAATAATACCCCGGGTGGGAGCAGGGAAGCCCCTGGCCCTCTGCTCTCCACCTGGGGCAAAGGGGGGTGGGGGGGCTTCTCCTTCAGCAGGGAGGGCTGCTCTGCTGCCAGGCTGGGTAGGGGAAGCCACCTCGGATCCGACCCGGCCGCTTCCCTCCTCCTGTCCCACCTGCCCTGGAATTGATGGGTTTGGGAGTGCAGGCCCAGCTGTGCCCGGGGTCTGCACCACCCAGTTCTCTCCTTTGTGGCCCAGCACCGCCCTCTTTGGGGGTGGCAAAGGGCCCTCTGGGGCCGGGTGGCTCAACAGCACCAACTATGCATGCGGCGCATCGGCCCATGGGGGTGTTGCTTTTGATGGGATTGCTGCACTAAAGGCCCCAAATCTTGTGTGGCAAAAATATAAGGGAGGCCAAAGCTGGCTCGGTTCGCATGCTGCAGCAAGAAATTTCTCGGGGAGGAAATACTTGTTTGGGATTGTTTGCTGTACCATGGTAGGAAGGGAGAATCAACCGGTTTAATTTTGGTTTTAAGTCTTTGTTATAAATCCCAGCACTTTTCCGCCTCGGGTGCCAATCCAGTGTAGGTTTTGGCACACCTCCAGCACCGCCATGAGATTTCTGGAAGCGGCTGAGCTGCTGCAGGGGGAGGCAGGCCTTGGGGTTCCCTCGGTCTCCCCTGTCCCTCGTGGAACTTTCTTCTCACACCTTTTGTGAAAGTGAGGCCAAAGGTAATCCAAGGTGGTGCTGGCACCTTCCCAGGAGGCCCTCCTCCAAAGGCCAGGTGACCTAGGTGCATGGGCAGTGAAAGTGCAGAGAAGGGTCCGAGGGGCCCTCCCTGCCAGGAGCGTGGATGGGGCCACGCCTGGATCCATAGAAGCAACCACAGGGTGCAAGCTGACCAAAAAGCAGAAGCAGCTGACAAGGCCTGGCAGGCGGCGGAGTCAGAAAAGGAGGTGCACATTGAGGAGAGAACCCGGAGCTGCTGCTAGGGAGGTGGGAAAGGAAGGGATTTTAAGGGGAGGAGCCGCCTGTGTGAAAGGAAAAGGAGCGCACGACAGATCATTTGCTTGCAAGGAGAGAAGAATCGCAAAGGAAGCGCTGAACTTCCCAAGTCCTCGCTTTCTGGCACCCCTGTTCACATCAGTCCGGCATGCCCCTCACATTCCCACCAGAGGCAGGGTCCTCCTTTTAAAATGCCTGCAAATGGGCTTCAGAGAGGCCTGCAAAATGGCACTGAGAATCAGGGTCAGCTGAGGAAACCAGTCGAGTTGTCACCAGGTCTGAAAAGACGAGATATTCTGACCCCGAGAAAAGCCTCTGCTGGAGAAAAGTATTTGCTCGGTCTCAGAAAAGGAGGTTAGATTCCAAAAGGTAATCATTTATGGAATCCCCAGAGTGGACTTTGTGGAGCACGGGGCTGCGGCCAGTGTCCACCACTCATTTCCTGGCAGGCTAATCTCTCTTTACAAGCAAGTCTGTTTCCCCTGCAAATCCAGCTGCGAGTAGAACTGTGGTGGGACTATCCAGAAACCAGGGTTACGGGGGATATACACTTGTATGAATAAAATTCAGAAAAGACAACAGGATCTCCAAAGATATAAAACAGAGGATGACAGCAAAAATGGAAAGTGGAATAAATGTGGGGAAACAGGCTGTGGGCCCTGGCCTAAAGGCAGCCCAGAGAGCAGTGGAAGGAAATGACAGAACAGGA